TATTTCCCCAAAGGCCATATTCTTCTAAAAGACAATATGCTATGAAATATTTAGTTTTGTTTACTTTGAACTTAAATGCAGTTTGATAGCACAGATACTGAAGTTAAGTGCTATAATGCTAATGATGTTTAGTTGACTATACATTTAATAGACTTTTTGCATGTAAGAATTTTAGGGACTTTTAGCAGACTTTAAGTTTTCTTTCTAGAGCAGATTTAAGTTTACATAAAAACTGAAGGGGAAGTAAAGAGTTCTCATGTAGCCCTGCGCCCCCCACCCAACCCCATTTTCCCCTATTATTAACATCTTGTGTTAGTGTGGAATAGACCAAACATGGTGCTGTCTTGAGCAAGACTGGAAGTTATGAGGTTGGTCTTAAGTGGTCACATTTGTGATATATTAAGAATATAAGGCTTAAAGAATGTGAGGACTGATTTTATATGGAGTGGGGGAGAAAAGAGCATTTTGATTGAGCACTGGAATGGGTAGAGAAGCAGGTTTAAAGATATAAATTTGAGGGGCACCTAGGTGGCTCAGTCAGTGAAGTATCCGACTCTTTTTTTTTTAATTTTTTTTCAACGTTTTTTTATTTATTTTTGGGACAGAGAGAGACAGAGCATGAACGGGGGAGGGGCAGAGAGAGAGGGAGACACAGAATCGGAAACAGGCTCCAGGCTCTGAGCCATCAGCCCAGAGCCCGACGCGGGGCTCGAACTCACGGACCACGAGATCGTGACCTGGCTGAAGTCGGACGCTTAACCGACTGCGCCACCCAGGCGCCCCATTATCCGACTCTTGATATAGGCTAAGGTCACGATCTCACAGTGTGTGGAATCAAGCCCCACATTGGTCTCTGCACTGACCGCACAGAGCCTGTTTGGGATTCTCTCTCACATGCTTTCTCTCAAATAAACATTTTTTAAAAAAATATAACATTCTGAAGTCATGAGGGTTAACGATATCATCTCTGGGGTGAGCACAGCAAAAACAGTAAACTAATGGCTAACTTTGGAGACCTTTGCACATATCAAATTGGAGACATGAAGAGAAGTCAATAAGATTGAGGTCAAAAAGTACAGCAGAAGATGAAACTCAAGAAAGACTACTTTTTCTTGAATCCAGGTGATTAAATTCCCTTATGAATATGACTGGGTACGTCAAATTGATATTTTCAGAAAGATGAAGACTGATAATGGACTTCTGGCTTTAAAAGTATGGGAAACATGTGTTCTTGACATCTTTGGGTAAAGACAAAGTGGTCAGAATATCACTCACTGCTGGGATTTAGGGGATGAAGTGAAGATAAATATATCTCGTTCAAGACTTTTTGTTGTGAAGGGAGGGAGTGAAATTTTGAGTAGCAGCAATGGAATGCATGCTTAAAGAAAGCTGGTTTATTTTAAACATAAAATCTTTAAATATGCATGTATGTGTGTAAATACATATGTATGTACATCTATACTATAAATATCTGAGATATATCAGATACATATGTAGTCTTTATTGCTGAGCTATATAATCAGATAGATATCGCTATTATATAATGTGTGTGTGTGTGTGTGTGTGTGTGTATATATATATATCTGTTGGCAAAAATAGATAGGACTCTGCATACATGGAGGGGCTGATCACAGGTAGGAGAAATTGCATCCATAGTGTCAGTAATGTTGGCAGAATATAATGGTTCTAACTGGTATAGTTTGGTAGATATAATGGTGGGAGTGTGTACATATTCCTTACTCCCATTTCTGTGTCTCAGTAAATTAAAAGGAAAGACTGTCAGCGGAGAGTGTGGAGAAGTGAGGAGGGATTACAGGTTGGAGGGAAGAGAGCAAGTGAAGTAGTCATTTTGAAGAATTTAATGCTGAATGGAGTACTAAGATGCTACTTGAGATGAGTGGTCCTGGATTTAAACCAAGACCTATCACCATAGTTCTTCTGTGACCTCATGCAGCTTCTTCCCTCAGCTGCAGACGGAACAGAGGGTTGCATTTTACCAAAGCTTGAGTATCACAGGTAAGCTTTTGCAAAGGGTATGAGGGCAAGGAAATTGAGGTGTATGCATTGAAGTGATTATAATGCTGAGCCATTACATTTCTGTGTAAGGAGCAAAATCAGAAATGGGGGTTGGTAAAGAACAGCAAAGAAGTGGGGTCATCAAGATTATATGCCCCAGTGGTTGAAGTCTTGTAGTTAGTACTGAAAGGAGTTAGCTGGAAAGAGTAAGAAAGTATGTTTGGGGAGTGGACTGCTTGATTAGAGACCCTAAAGAAGATGTCCTAACTTGTGAGGATAATATCTGCAGTATGACCTTAGGAGTGGATTCCTAAGGTCCGGTGGAAGACAAGATGATTGGAAGAGAAAAATTTGAGGAATTGAGAGTATAGGGTATTAAAAGTTGTTGTTTCAGATACTGTACTCAAAGGTAGAGTTGCAAAGAAATAGCAAGGTGCTAAAATACCAGTGATGGAGACTGGCCAGATCTGTGTAAATGACAGCAATGAGCAGGGACAGGGCATACCATACCTATCCAGCCAGTTCTCCATCTGTCATCTAAAGAAAGGGACAAAGGTCTGCAGTTAGAAATGAAGAGGTGAATAGAAGAGAGGTCACCTCCTTCACCTCCAGAATAGGGAAAAAAGTCATCATCTGAGAGGTGGCAATCAGCCTTATCACTGGCCTATATAAAATACTTCTGTGGCTTCCCATTCCCACCAAACAACATTTAACTTCCTTAACATGGCATTCAAGGCCTTGTGCTTTCGGCCCTAGCTTTTTCAAATTCTGTCCTCACTACCTACCCCGATCAGCCACACTTCACTTCCTCAAACTTGCCATTCATTCATCATTTAGCCTTCAGAGATGCTGTTCTTTTTACCCTTTCCTTTCATTTCCCCGTGCCCTAGTTAAGTGATAATCCCCATTTTTGTCCTCAATTTCTTACATTTCTTCCAAGAAGCTTTCTAAATAGATTAAGCTACTTGTCCCTGGTTGCCTCAATAGGGTACTAAATCCTCTTCAGGTTAATTATTTTTTCAGTTGTCTGTTTTCTCAAATTAAGTGTAATGTAAATGCCACAAAGCTAGAGATCATGCATTGGTTCAACAGATTTGAGCGTCTACTAAGTACTCATCATTATTATTGAAATTTTTATATCATCATTGTATCATTGCTATTTAATTAAGACCTAGAATTTGGTAAGCATTCGGTACATATTATCCTTCCATGTATAAATGCATGTGTGATATAAATGAGAATTCACTTATTGGTATTTTATGTGATAGTCACTGGTTATCTGTCACTCATAGCAATATTGCACATAAACACTGCTTAAGGGAAAAAGAAATTCTGTCTTGAAAATGGAATGCTTTTACTATGAAGTAGTTTTAATTTGCCTAAAACTTAAAGCTTACCTTCTCTATCAATCTGTCAGTAGTCTAAAATTTTGCTGATGTCATAATGTGTAAAACAGAACATTGAACAAGGTTTTCAACTGCCAGATCTTGAAAGTTAAAAAGTTAAATGTTACAAATGATTTACATCTGGACAGAGCATGCAGAACCTTCAAAATAAGTCTTTCCTGTTGCATACAGAAAATTCCATTTCTCAATGTACATACATTGACATAATAAAAATTGAGTGCATGAAAAGAGAAGGGTATGTGCCTATCTTACGGCAAATGAGAAAATTTAAAAATGTGCTTTACATTGTTTTAGGACTTAGAGTTTGAAAACCATTTTAAGAGTGAAGCAAACTGTTTCCGTAAGCTCATAGAGATGACAATCACTTGCTGATGTCATCTAAACCGTCATGTTGCCTCAAACAATGGGGTAATCCACCTCTACTGAATAAACTCTATTCATAAAGATCTGGTGAGCCCTACTTAACACCTGTGAGATGACATTACCAAACAGACAACTGTGGAAAACTTATGTTAGCTTTGAATGAAAGTTCTAATGAATAATACTAGAAGTAGAGATTGAACCTCATTTGAATCCTACTCTGTCAGTTCATGGTTGATGTAGCTGAGGAATAGAAAGACTCATTTTCAAACACTACCGAGTAAGGTGAGTGGGACCTCCCAGACCTTTCTCATACTTTCCCACCCCACATATGCTTATTTGTATTGTACATTTGGATGCTATTTCTATAATTGTATCTTTCCTAGAATGATTCCTATGTATAAAGTAGAAAAAAACAGATATACAGCAGGAAAAAGAAATAGGACATAATGTTTTGGGTGACAAAGGTGTCACCTTGAAGACCTTAACAAATTCTGAGTCTCTGCCGCCTTCTCTTCTCCCATCTCCAGATATAATTAAATATATAATAATTTTTTTTTCCTAAAGTTCTTCCCGGCTTTAGTAAAGAATATTTTAAGGACTCCAGGATTACCATTCTTGAACATCTGTTGATAGTCTGCCTTTATGCTGAATCTCTGACATATTCTGCTTCATTCTGAGACATCACCTTTTTCTTAGCTTTGAGACTAGATTCCTCTCTTGATACACTGCTGAGTATTCCAGTTCCTTTTCACCTGAGACCCTGATTGAATCACAGCTGTCTTCTCCCTCAGAACAAGATTTCTCTCCTTTAGAAACCCATGCAAAGGGGTGCCTCAGTGGCTCAGTCAATTAAGCGTCAGACTTCGGCTCAGGTCATGATCTCACAGTTTGTGGGTTCAAGACCCGCATCAGGCTCTGTGCTGACAGCTCAGAGCCTGGGGTCTGCTTCAGATTCTGTGTCCCTCTCTCTCTGCCCCGACTCTGTTTATGCTCTTTCTCTCTCAAATAAATAAACATTAAAAAAAAACAAAAAACAGTGCAAATGACTGCAAAAGAGTTTTATGATGGAGGGTGATAATCGTATACCAACTCTAAGGACCACACCCTCCTAGATTCTTCCAAATCATGTTTAGAACGCCAATTTTGGAATTACTTTGTGTATATTGTCTACCATAATGATTTCAAGTTAGGTTTGGCATTCCAGCTCTGGCTTACCTCCATCCGAGCATGTACTGAGTTCTGGATCTCAACTCTTACTCAGTTCCACTCTTGTACTCTTCTACCGTCGTGTCCAATTATGTCCTGAAATATGATCAGCCCTGGAACATACAAATTGGAATTCAATGCACTACTTTAACTCTGAAAAGTTGATTTTTATTTGTTGAGAGTGACACCAAAAAGATGGCAACATAGGTCATTCCTGAATTTGTTCCCCCTCACAAGAAGACTGACTATTTAGGGACAAGACATCACTGGAGAGAATCCTGGAACATGAGAGGGAGGATGAAGCACTACCCTGCAGCACAGAGACCAAGACATACTAGGGTAGAATGAAGAATGGCTACTAGAAACTCATCTCCAGTAACTCTAAAGAAATGGAGATATATGAACTGTCAGACAAAAATTCTGAATAATCCTCTTTAAAATTAGGAAAACAATGCATGAATAAAACGAGAAGTTTGACGAAAATAGAAACCATTAAAAAAATCAGAAATCCTAGTGCTGAAAAATACAACTGAACTGAAAAATTCAATAGAGAGCTTCAAAATCAGACTTGACCATGCTGAAGAAAGAATCAATGACCTAGAAGATGTTTGAAATTGTCCAGTCATAGGAGCAAAAACAAAAAAGAATAAAAAATAATGAAGAAAGCCTATGGGACACAATGAAAAAAAAACCCACAATGTTTACATTATGGGAATTCCAGAAGGAGAAGAGAAAAAGGGGGAGAAAGTATATTTAAAGCAATAATGGCTGAAAACTTTGAAAATGTTGTGGAGAGTAATAGGCATCCAAGAGGCCTAAAGGATTACACATAGGTTGAATCCAAATAGGGCTACACCAAGACAAATAATTGTCAAGTCAAAGACAGCTAATTTTAAAAGCAGCAAAAGAGAGAAGTCACATATGAGGGAACCCCATAAGACTATTGGTAGATTTCTCAACAGAAACTTTTCAGTCCAGAAGACAATGGGACAATATATTGAAAACACTGAAAGAAAATAACTGTTAACCAAGAATTCTCTACCTTGCAAAGATGTCCTTCAGAAATGAGGGGATAGGAAGACTTTCCTCACCACTGGAGAAAGGCTAAAGGGAGTTCCTTGAGGGGAAATAAAGAGATGCTAATGAACATCATAAAAACATAAAGCAGTGCAAAACTCACTGGTAATGGTAAGTATATATTCAAAGTTGGATTCTGTAATATGGTAATGGTGGTGCATAAAGCATTTAACAAATCTAGTTTAAAAATTTTTAAAAATGAGTAAAAAGAACCATAACCATAATAACCTGTTATTTTTTTATGCAATATAAAAATATGTAAACTGTAACATTGATAATGTAAAATATGAGGAAGGGGAGAAGTAAAGTGTAAATCTAAGGAATTCTATTAAAGTTAAGTTGTTATTAAAATAGGATGTTATAATTTTAAATTATTTTAGGTAAGCCTCATGGTAGCCACAAAGGAAAAACCTGGAGTAATTGCACATAAGAACATGATTAAAAGAAGTCAAAACATACTGATCTCACATGGCACCAACACAGACACACTGATACACATGTGTGCACGCTCACACACACACACACACACCTGAGTAAAAATAAGGAACAATGGATCTACAAAACAACCAGAAAACAACAGCAATAGTAAGTTATTATCAATAATTACCTTAAATATAAACATATTAAATTCTCTAACCAAAAGACACAGAATGGCTGAATGGATTTTAAAAATCATATTAAATGATATGCTGCTTATAAGACACTGACTTTATGCTTAAAGATACACATAGGGCTGGGTGGCTCAGTCGGTTAAGTGTCCAATGTTTGATTTCTCCCCAGGCCATGATCTCACATTCATGACATTGAGAGCCCCATATTGGGCTTCATGCTGAGTGTGGAGCCTGCTTAATATTCTTTCTCTCCCTCTGCCCTTTCCCCAGCACATGTGCTCTTTCTCTCTCAAAAAATATATGTATATAAAATTAGAAATCAACACTAAGAGGAAAATTGGAAAATTCACAAATATGTGGAAATTTAACAACATTCTCCTGAGTAACCATGGATCAAAGAATAAATTAAAGTATCTTGAGATGAACAAAAATGAAAACACAAATACCAAAACTTACAGGATGCAGCAAAAGTAGTTCTTAGAGGGAAGTGCATAGCAATAAGTGCCTACATTAAGAAACAAGAAAGATCCTAATTCTACACCTTAAGGATCTAGAAAAAGAAGTACAAACTGAGTATAAAGCTAGTGGAAGAAAGGGAGTAATAAGGAATGGAACAGAAATAAATGAGATAGAAAACAGAAAATCAGTAGGTGAGACTAACCAAACTAGGAGTTGTTTCTTTGAAAACATAAGCGAAATTGATAAATCTTTACCTAGATAAACCAAGAAATAAAAATAGGACCCAAATCAACAAAATTATAACTGAAAAAGAAAATATTACAAATGACATCAAAAATAAAAAAATCATGAGTTTACTATGAACAACTATACCCCCCAAAAACCAGGCATCCTAGAATAAAATGGGAAAAAAATTAGAGCCATAAACCACCAAGACTGACACAAGAAGAAATAGAAAGTCTGAATAGATCAATTAATAATAACAAGATTGAGTCAGTAAGCAAAAATCTAATGAAGAAAAACCCAATACCAAATGGTTTCCTTTCGGTAAATTTTTGGTAAATTTGGTAAATTTTACCATTTAAAGAATTAATGCCAGCCCTTCTCAAACTCTTCCAAAAAAATGAAGAGGAGGGAATATTCCCAGACTCATTTTATCAGGTCATTGATACCAAAGTCAGAGAACGACACTACCAAAAAACTATAGAACAATATCCCTGATGAATAAAAATGCAAAAATTCTAAATAATTCTCAATACGAGCAAACTAAATTTGGCACATTAAAAGGATCATTCACCACAATCAAGTGGAAATATGTGTGGGATACCAGGATGGTTCAACAAAATCAAATCAAGCTATGTGAGACATCACATTAATAGAATAAAAGAAAAACTCGTATAATCATCTCAATAGATACATTTGAGAAAATTAAACACCCATTTATCATAAAACTTCTAAACAAATTATGTACCAAAGGAATGTACCTTGACATAATAGAGGCCATATATGATAAGTCCACAGCTCACATCAAACTAAATGGTGATAGGTTGAATTATTTTCCTCTAAGATCAGGAACAAAACCAAACAAGTGCCTACTCTCACCACTCCTATTCATCATAGTACCAGAAGTCCTAGCTAGAGCAATCAGGAAAGAAAAAGAAAAGCATCAGAATTGGAATGGAAGAAATAAAATTGTCTCTATTTGCAGGGGACATGATGTTATAGAGAGTCAATCCTAAAAACTCCACAAAAAAACCCTGTTAGATCTAATCAATAAATTCAATACAGTGTCAGGATACAAAATTAACACACAAAAAATAAGCAGCATTTCCAGACACTAACAACAAATTACCCGAAAAAGAAATTGTAAAAATCCCATTTACAAGAGCATCAAAAACAATAAAATACTTAGGAATGAATTTAGGAGGGAAAAGATCTCTCCAAAAACAAGATATTGATGAAAGGAATAAAAGACACAAATAAATAGAAAGGTATCCCATGTTCATAGATTGGAAGAATCAAAATGTCCATACTACCAAAAGCCATCCATAGATTCAATACAATTCTTACAATGATTCAAGTAGCATTTTTTGCAGAGGGAGAAAAAAACAATCCTAAAATTTATATGGAACCACAAAAGATCCAAATAGCCAAAAGAATCCTGAGAAAGAACAAAATGGAAGGCATCATACTTCCTAATTTTAAGCTATGTTAATCAAAACAGCATGGTACTCGCATAAAAACAGACAATAGATCAATGGAACAGAATTGAGAGCCCATAAATAAACCCAAGCATATACAGTGACCTTATGTTTGGCAAGGGAGCCAAAGATACTCAGTCTAGAAAAGACAATCTTTTCAATAAATGGTTCTGGAAAAATTGAATTTTCACAAGAATGAAGACCTCTACCTTATAACACCTAAATTAACTAGTAATGTATTAGAAATTTAAACATTTACATAAATTGACTAGTAATGGATTAGAATTTTAAACATAAGACTTGAACCAGGAAACTCCTTAAAAAAGCTCCTTGACATGGTCTTGGCAGTGAGTTTCTAGATATACCTAAAGCATAAGCAGCAAAATAAAAATAAACAAGTAGAATTACATAAAACTAAAGAGCTTCTGCACAGCAAAAGAAAGTGAAAGACAATGGGAACGGGAAAAATTACTTGCAAATCATATATCTGATAAGGTGTTAATGACCAACATACGCAAAAATGCATAAAATTTCAATATATACTATTTAAAAGATAAATCTTTATAAAAAATTGTATGTTTATGCAATACTTCAAAAATATTTATTGAGCTTTCCCTAAAATTCTCAATGTCAGTGATACAAGGGAAAACTGAATGTTCATAAATATCTACTCTAGAAAACTTCCTATAATTATTCATATACCTTTATTCAAATATAATTAGCCCAATCTATACATATTTTAAAGTATAAAATCAGGTATATTTATCCATCTTGAATTAAAAAAAAACACACAACACATTCATTTTTCTTCCACCAAAAGGAAAAAGACCTGTTATTCAATATTTCTTGATAATTTATGCCAATATAAATTTCTTATATTTATAGTCATTAAGTGTGAAACACATCAAATAATAAAGTCTTAGATATATAATTGTGTGATTTATGTTTTATCTAATTTTCAACACCAGCAGACCCACACATATGAATAATTACAACTCTGGCATATATACATTTTATTTTATTTTTTAATTTATTCTGAGAGAGAGTGGAGGAGTGACAGAGACAGAGGGAGAGAGAGAGAATCATGAGCAGGTTCCATGCTGTCAGCGCAGAGCCCAACGTGGGGCTTGTACTCACAGACCATGAGATCATGACCTGAGCCAAATCGAGAGTTGGACGCTTAACCAGGTGTCCACATATATACTTTTCCAATTCCCAAAACTCTCAACTTTATTGCAGTATGAAGGAGAAATGGCTCATTAAGAATATCATAGCCCTAGGGCACCTGGGTGGCTCAGTCAGTTAAGCATCTGACTTTGGCTCAGGCTCAGGTCATCTCATGGTTTGTCAATTTGAGTCCTGCTTTGCAGCAGGTGAGCTGGAACCCCACTTCATGTGAGCCCTGCTTCTTTCTCTTTCCCTCTCTGCCTCTCAATCTCTGCCCTTTGCTCACTTAATATGTGCTCTCATAAATAAATAAATAAATAAATAAATAAATAAATAAACAAACAAATAAAGCCCTAAAGGGTTAGTATCCACACTATATAAAGAACTTACACAAATCAACACCAAAAAAACGATTAATCCAATTAAAAATGGACAGAAGACTGAGACAATTCTCCAAAGATATGCAGATTGTCAACATCATTAATCAGGGAAATGCAAATCAAAACTACAATGAGCTGTCACCTCACACCTGTCAGAATGGCTAAAATCAACAAACAACACGTGTTGGTGAGGATATGGAGAAAAAGGAACCTAGTGCACTGTTGGTGGGAATGCACATTGGTGCAGACATGGTGGAAAATAGTATGGAGGTTCCTCAAAAATTTAAAAATAGAACTATGGGTCTAGGAATCACATACTGGGTATTTACCCCAAGAATACAAAAACAGTAACCCAAAAGGATATATGCACCCCTATGTTTTTGCAGCATTATTTACAATAGCCAAATTATGGAAGCAGACCAAGTGTCCATCCATAGATGAATGGATTAAGAAGTAGTATATATAATTTATATATACGTTATACACACACACACACACACACACACACACACACACACACATACACAGAAGGGAATACTATTCAGCCATAAAAAAGAATGAATTCTTGCCATTTGCAACAACATGAGTGTACCTACAGGGTATACTACTAAGTGGAATAAATCATAGATAGACAAATAACATATGATCTCACTCATGTTGAATTTAAGAAATAAAACAAAGGAAAAGAAAGACAAAATAAGAAAAAGACTCTTAACTATAGAG